ATATGTAACATACAGCCCGTATATGTAACATATGGCCCGTATATGTAAAATACAGCCCGTATATGTAAAATACAGCCCGTATATGTAACATATAGCCCGTATATGTAACATATGGTTTGTATATGTGTAAAATGCAGCCCGTATATGTAACATACAGCCCGTATATGTAACATACAGCCCGTATATGTAAAATACAGCCCGTATATGTAACATACAGCCCGTATATGTAACATACAGCCCGTATATGTAACATATGGCCCGTATACGTAAAATACAGCCCGTATATGTAACGTATGGTCTGTATGTGTAACATACAGCCCGTATATGTAACATACAGCCCGTATATGTAACATACAGCCCGTATATGTAACATATGGCCCGTATATGTAAAATACAGCCCGTATATGTAACATATGACCCGTATATGTAACATATGGCCCGTATATGTAAAATACAGCCCGTATATGTAAAATACAACCCGTATATATGTAACATACAGCCCGTATATGTAACATACAGCCCGTATATGTAACATATGGCGCGTATATGTAACATACAGCCCGTATATGTAACATACAGCCCGTATATGTAAAATACAGCCCGTATATGTAAAATACAGCCCGTATATGTAACATACAGCCCGTATATGTAACATACAGCTCGTATATGTGAAATACAGCCCGTATATGTAACATATGCCCGTATATGTACTGATGTAACATATGACCCGTATATATAAAATACAGCCCGTATATATATATGTAACATATGGCCCGTATGCGTAAAATACAGCCTGTATAGATAGATAGATAGATAGTGTATTTAAAATTCACCTTGCAGCTGGACAGCTGAATTGCGTGATTTACAAGAGTATATAAAACATTATTTAAAAGATAGAATATGGGTTAATTAAGCATATTTACAAATGGTCATTACAGTGAAAATACAAAAAGTGTCCCACTTCCGCTTCTGTAGTTTGTTGTGATTTACTGTAATTTGTTCTGTTTTTCTGTAGCGATTACCGATTTATCGACAAATACCGCGATAAAACTTAGTTTTTTTCTATTTTTAAATATGATAA